GTAGATAGAATCACAGCTGAAATATAATGATGGTTTAGGACTATGAGATGGTGGTACCCTGACATGCAATAAAAACATGGAAAATGGGATTTTACTACTTCGACATTTAACTAGGAAAAATTGCAGGCTAATGAAATGTAAATAACTGTATATATTTCTCAACTAATTAGCTTTTTTATCCATATATTGATACATTTTATTTTCTATGCATAATAGTAACAGTTTCATCTGTGTTAACAGTTTCTCAAGACATAAAATTTGGAAGAAAATGACATAGAGTGCAATGCAAACATCTTGTACGTCCACAAAATTTTAACAAACACTTCCATTTCTATGGTACAAACACCTGTCAGAATGTAGAACCTTACTGTTATCCCAGATTGTTTAAAATGAGATTCCTTTTGCTTCTTCATACATACAATGGGAAACCTGCTCACATGTGCATGTATGTGCTGACCATCGTACTGTCACCTAGTACTGTCACCACCTCATCTACCGAGTGGAGGTTTCAAGCCTGATTGGCTGCACGAAGATTGGGTGGTTACTGAAACTCTCTGAGTTGAGTGTTTCTCACATGTGAAGTGAGGGTTGTGATGCCACAGCAGCTGTCTTTACATTGGCATATGCCCTGCAGCTATGTTTTCATCTGACTTTCAAATCAGAATCATTTGATCCAAACAGACTGCTTGATTTATGAATATGAACACCCACATTTATGAAATAATGCCAATTCCTGAAGTAAGAAGGGGCACTCGCATTGGACCCCTGGTCTCATTGCTTAGAGAGTTGTTGCACCAGCAGCAACACTTGTAAATTTGTGAAAATGGACTTTATCTTTCTTTAACAAATAAATTTTTAATCCACTACACTTTCCTCCCTTACCCTTTAGTTTTTGATAAATGATACAAATGAGCCAGTTGTCAGAGGAGAAATAGTTCTGCCTTCAAAAGAAAAAAAAACATAAAAAAGAATTGCTAGTTACCAACAGGAAAAGTACATTTTAACAATTGTGTGACAAGAAACCATTCCTGTATACATTGCATACCCCTTGGCTGGGGTTCAGTACTTAGTCTGCATAGATGGGTGATTATAACTCTATTGCATTAAAAGATTTCCAGTTGCAAAATAAGAGTAAGAATGGAAACATCCAACAGTTTTTGTTTAATAAGTGTAATCGTAATGTATATTGTCCACATTATGTTATTGATTGTATCTGCATAATTGCAATAACTCAATCTAGATTTTTTTTAATACTTGGAGATTTTATGCTCACAAGGATATAAAAAGAATCTGATTTCTATTTATGGGAACATCTTTGCTGCAGAGAAATTTGATATGGTGATCAACAGAACAGTGTAAAAGGACAGAATTGTGTGGGGAGAATATAATAGCCATTTGAGTCCACAGAGAAAAAAAAAAAAGGAATGTGGTAAAGTTTTTGAGGTTTAAAGAAGAGTTTACACTTCATTTTGATTTGAGTATTTATGGTGAGTACCAAATTCAGTATCTTTAAAAGAGTTATATATAACAGTTTTATATAAAAAATCAGCATTGTAGTATGCTAGAAATCAAACTTGACAAAGAAGAAAGACAATACAAAAAAAAAAACACGACTTTTTCCAACTATTTAAGCATGATTAAAAATTTTAGATATCAACCTAAAATCCTGTGAGGGGCACATAATTTCTAAACAACAACAAAAAAAGAGTTTATATTTTAAAAGCAGAGCAAATGTAGAGAGAGTTGAACAAGAGAGAATGAGAGCTTCCATCTACTGGTTTACTCCCCAAATGCCTGCAAGAACGGAGGCTTGGCCAGGCTGAAGCCAGGAGTTCAGAACCCCATCAGGGTTTTCCATGTGGGAGGCAGAAATGTTAAGTCCTTGAGCCATCATCTTCTGGCTCCCAGGGTACCCATAAGGTGGAAGCTAGATTGGAACCAGAGGCAGGATTTGATCCCAGGCACTATAACATGGAATGTGGGCATCCCAGAGAGGATGGTTTGGTCCACTGTTCCAGAATGTCTGCATCTTCAGGGGTCATTGTGAACTTTAGGAATATGATGGGCAAGGCATGCCATCTCAAGTAAAGCAGCCATTACCTGAGGGACTGAGTTCTAATACTATGCCTCTTTGGTTTTTGGTATTTGGTCCAGGGCATTTTTTTTCCTGTGCTTTTCTCTTATTGTCTTGTCAGGAATACAGATGACTATAAAAATAGTTGAGTGTAAGAAGTCAGGTGAGGGCCCGGCGCGGTGGCGCAAGTGGTTAAGTCCTCGCCTTGCACGCCCGGGATCCCATATGGGCGCCGGTTCTAATCCCGGCAGCCCCGCTTCCCTTCCAGCTCCCTGCCTGTGGCCCGGGAAGGCAGTTGAGGACAGCCCAAAGCTTTGGGAACCTGCACCCGTGTGGGAGACCCGGAAGAGGCTCCTGGCTTCGGATCGGCATAGCATCGGCCGTTGTGGGTCACTTGGGGAGTGAATCATCGGACGGAAGATCTTGCTCTCTGTCTCTCCTCCTCTCTATATATCCGCCTTTCCAATAAAAAAATAATAAAAATAAATCTAAAAAAAAAGAAGTCAGGTGAGAATGATTGCATATAATATAAATAATGCAAATGACAATTTTTCTACTGATGCAAATATGAGTATAGGCTCTTTAAGTCAAAGACTACAGCAGGTGTTAAAAAATGCTTACTGAATGAGTAAGTGAATGCTACGGAAGTTTGGTCAGAAGCTACATACTCACTCACTGGGCATCTTCTCTTAGTATATGCATTTCTCAACTCACGGTGTGGTTAAAGCCCATTTTGGACATTTTCTCAGAAATTAACTTTAAAGATAGAAACAGCGGGAAACAAAATTGTCCCTTGGCATGTGGCTACTCACTCATTTTCAGAGGTGGTTCATTTACTTGACTATAATAGCCTGTGTTATAGTGTAATAATTATGTGTTCTAGAACTAGCCAGGCTAGGCTCTAGTTCAAGGAATATCATTTAATTAGTTGTGTGTCCTTGAGCAAATCATTTAACTTCTCTTTCCCATCTTCACACAGGTATAAGGACAACCTGGATCTTGTTAGGGTTGTTTTGAAGATTAGTGAGGTAGGTTAAGGATTGTGTGGTGGGCAGAATAATGCATCCCTCGAGGGAAAAAGGACAATTCCACAAGATGCCAATGTCCTGATTTCTGGAACGTGGGAATATGCGGTCTTATATGGCAAAAGGAATTTGCAGACATGATTAAGGATCACGAGACGGGAAGACAATCTTGCGGACCCAATGTAATTATAAAGGTAAGTATGGGGGGGGGGAGCTGGACAATCAAAGCCAGAGTGATGGCAGTGTGAGAAACACTTGACTGTTAGCTTTAGATGGAAGAAGGGGGCCATGAGCCAAAAGATGTGAGCAACTTCTATAAGCTGGAAAAAAAAAAAAAAAAAACCCACCAAAAATTCTCCAAAACAAAGAAGAGAATTGGGCTCTTTGTTTCTCAGAGAATGTCCAAAAGGGAACACAGCTCATCTGACATCTTTTTTAAAAAAAGTATTTATTTTTATTGGAAAGGCAGATCAGATTTACAGAGAGAAGGAGAGACAGAAAGAGCTTCTACCTGCTGGTTCACTCCCCAAGTGACAGCAACGGCTAAAGCTGAGCTGATCAGAAGCTAGGAACCAGGAGCCTCTTCCGGGTCTCCCATGTGGGTGCAGGGTTCCAAGGCTTTGGGCCATCCTCCACTGCTTTCCCAGGTAATAAGCAGGGAGCTGGATGGCAAGTGGAGGATCTGGGACACGAACTGGAACCCATATGGGATAGCGCTGTGTGCAAGGCAAGGATTTAGCCACTGAGCCATGTGCTGGGCCCTCACCTGATGTCGTCATCTGGGTCCATTGAAACCCCTATTTCATTTCACACTCTGATAACTATAAAATACTTTTTTCTTGTTTTAAGCCGCCAACATGGTGGTAATCTGCAGCAACGGAACACTAACCCAGGTGACTATGTACAACACTTTTACTTCCGGCTTTCTTTGGTTTCCTTCACAGCACAATAGAATGCAAACGCTTCTAAATGCATCTTTGTTGGCTATGTAACAGTATTTTCCCAATTTTGCCAGCCTCTAGCTACTCTGAATCTCAAGTTTGAAAAGTAGCCCCCGTTTTCCTACAATGGATGGTGGCAAGAGGCATCATAGACAAACTGCACGAGAATTCATCCTCTTTTTACATTTTCCACTCACATATGGAAACTCAGACGCTCTAATCATCAGCCTATTCTATGATTTGGGTCACAAATCATGATCTGAGATCCTATTCAGGAACAAGTTAATTCCTGATTCCTACCTAGCTTTGTTTGGAAAGAGGTTTGAGCCTACAGATTCCGGAGTAGGAGCCAGTCTTTCAGGTCCAAGAGCCAGGGGCATTAGATAACTTAAATGAGAGAAAGGGCAAAGGAAAGAAAAGAAATTGCTGGGTTAGAGGAAGGCTGGAAACAGAAGAAAGAAACAGAATACAGTCTAGCCACATAACAGGAAGTGAGAGATAGCTTCCTATCCTGGATTTCTCCTGGGCTCCGGCTCCCTTTTGGGCAGCTTTCCAAGCCGCCACCAGCACGGGGCACCTGCCTGCCTCTCAGCGATAGACTCTGCTTAGCGAGCTGGCGGCCGACTGGGAATGTTGCATTGGGAGAGCGACCGCGCAGGCTGGTGTGGTAGGCAGAGCGCAGGGAGGAGTCATTGGGCGTTCACACCAGAAAAGACTACATCTCCCAGGCCGCCACGCTTTCCAGCTGGAGTCCTAGGGCGCTGACTGCTCCCCAGTTTCCGTAGGGAAGCGCCGGGCTACAGCTGCTATTGTGTGTCGCTCGGTGTGGCTCTCCTCTTCCCGCTCTGGTGTCTGGGGGGCGGGGGGTGGGGGTGGGGGGAGAAGCTACGTTTCCTTGCCATCCCAGCTTAACCCTTCCGGAGCCTAACCGGACAGCAGGCCCGGGTCTCCGGGATTAGGAAGACCTCTCCGCAGTCGGCGGGCCCTGGTAACGCAACCCCAAGGATATAAAGGTAGACAATTACAGCAGGAGCCCCAAGCTTCGGGCTCAGGAGTCGGGTTTGGCGGGGACGCGGCAGAGGCGCTGGCTTTAAGAAGGGGGAGGGGACAGTGTAATCCCGGTCGCCCGCCGGAGTTCGGCAAAGGAAATCTCCAGCTAGCTCCGGCGCTTGGAGCGAGGAAGAGAGGCGGCTCCCAGTCCCAGCACTCACCCCCCGCCTACTCCCTGGGCGGGCCGAAGTGTCACGTTTGCAGCTGCCCAGGAAGGATCCGGACGGACGGTCTGTGGAAGCGAGCTGGGGCTGTGGTTTCTCGCTGCCTAACCCGGAGGCGACGCCTAGGGGGCATGCCGCTTGCTAGGCGTCACTCCGCCGGGCTCCGACTGCCTTAGCTCGCTGTGTCACCTGAAGCAGCCTTACGGTCGGTCGCCGGTTCCTTGAACACACCCGTCAGAGCTCCTCTTGGAGACCCATTGAAACAGGTACCTGTCTCCTAAAGGGAGGGAGGCTAGGACTTCCCTTTAAGTGGGTCTGGGGGTTCACCCACCACGTCTATCCCGACTATTATGTCACTGATGCTCCGGGTCTTTGTGTCTTTCCTCTCTCCTCCTAACTCCCTGTCAGAAGTATGGGGCATCCTCCGCTGGAGTTCAGCGACTGCTACTTGGACAGCCCCGATTTCCGCGAGAGGCTCAAGTGTTACGAGCAGGAGCTGGAGAGGACCAATAAATTCATCAAAGACGTGATCAAAGACGGCAATGCGCTTATCAGCGCTATGAGAAGTAAGTGGACGGCTTTGAAGCCACTGTTTTTCTGAGCCAGTTGCCTCTGGCCTTTTACCCTTTCTGCACCGAGGGAGGATTCGGGGTGACTCCCATCTCTGGTGTCTGAGGCAGTTGGGTCTTTGACTTTGCAGGAGCAGGATTGGTAGAACTGGAAACTGCTAGGTGCCACTAGAACTTTGAGTTTTTGCTTGGGATTCTTGATGTGTAGCTGTGCTGGGAACCCTCTTGCTCTGCTATTACTTGGACTTGGCAGATGGTCGTTCACCCAGAAAGACAGTCTGTACTGTGAGACATATTGGACACCCTCCGATGGGGCAAGGTGACATCCACGTTCCAGCACTTCCTAGAGAATTGGGAATTTAGGCCAGCAGCTTGAATAATGGTTTTGTTCTAGCCGCCAGTTGCTACAGATTATTGTGCAGGCAGGGAAAAAATTCCCCATGGTAAGTTCTTTTCTAAAGAAAGCACCTTTGCTCTAGTGATTTTTTTTTTCTTCTTTAATATAGTGAGCTGTGGTTTGGATCAAGGTCAGTCGAACTCAGGGGTATTGGATGTCTGGCTGTATCTCTGAATTCTGCTGAAGCGTGGAACAAAGACTTGCTTACTCCTTGGCAGGAAGAGCCACATACTGAGGGAGTACAGCCACAGTTGGCACATGCTGTGCTAATCTTACCTAGATTGCTTTTTCTGGTGGTCACTGCTCACTTAGCTGGAGGATTCTCCCTGACCCTCCCCGCCCCTTCACCTGGTGTGTGGAGGTTTTAATTCTGCTGCTTGGCAAGAAGCTTGGAGTAAAAGAATAATAAACATCCCCTATCAGAGGGAAAGCAAGCCAACCCTTTGTGTCAAAGTGTATAACCAGAAGAATGGAGGGTTAATGATTGGGTGGGGTGATAATTAATTTTTTTCTCTCCTCAGCTGTAAGAGGATGGTGAAAAATAAAGTTCGAGTCACTGGCTCGTGTGTCATGTCTTACAGTTCTGAGTGGATCTATTGCCCAAAGGCTGAGTGTGGGTACTGTGTGGGGAACTTCAGAAGGCTGTTGCAGCCAGCCCAAAGCAAGGAGGAAAGCCTTAGATGCCGCAGTGCTGGCTGCTGTTTCTTGTGTAGTGCTTCTTCCCCTTCAAGCCTATATATGCCTCGCACATGTTGTCTGTTCATCTTGGGTCTGCCTAGACAAGCTGTCTGTGTTTTCATGGGTCATTTGATTGGGTTTGAATATGTAATGGTTTGGCATGTGGTGGCCACCCCAAGAGAATTCCTGGTAGCACCTTGCCTAGGGGGCACTGGAAATGCCTTTTACTGGAGACTGATTAGCTCAGGCTTTGGAGTGTGTCTCCACTCAATAGAGGTCACTGAGGGGTTAAGAATAGGCATCTCTTGGCACAAAAATAGAGAGCTAAGGGTTCTCTGAAAGGAAAAGGGGCAGGGGGATGTTCCTGCTTGTTGTTGCTGACTTATGACTTCAAGCTGCTTGGTGCAGCAAATGAAGTTTAGTATAAGCTCTGGGAAGGGAGTGCCTGCTTCAAATGCATGGAGAGCCTGAAATGTTTGTGCTAGATTTGTAAGAAATATCATTTGGAGATAGGTAAATATTTTCTAAGCTAGGGATAAGTAGTGCTTTTTATTTCTTTTGCTTTTGCTTTGTAAAATTTGAAAGGCAAAGTTTTATACACATAGACATACACTGCAAAGGGGAGATGGAGAGAGAGAGAAAGAGAGAGAGAGAAATATCTTTCATCTGCTGGCTCACTCCACAAATGTCTACAATGGTTGAGTCTGGGCCTGAACAGAACCAGGATCCAGGAGCCTTTTCCCAATCTCCTACATGTGGGCAGGGGCTCAGGCGTATGGGGTTGTTGCTTTCCCAGGCACTTTTGCGAGGAGCTGGATTTAAGTCTAGCAGTCAGGTCTTGAACCTGCGCCCATATGGGATGCAACTGCTGTGGGCAGCATCTTAACTCACTACACCAAAATGCTGGCCCCTCTTCCTTTTTTTTTTTTTTTTTTGTAAGACTAAAAATATTAAGAGTCAGCAATTAAGCAGGCCCAAACTTTACCACATGGGCAAAGATCCAAGAGATGTTCTGGGCCAAGGGGGCTGTTCGTGGGGTGGTTTTCTGAGTACACAGACAAAGCCCAAAATAGGACAGGTAGGAAATTGAACTCAGCAGCTAACCCGCACTGCATTTCTTTCCTCTTAAATTGCATGCATTCGAAAAACCTAAGTAGCTAGGGGTGAAGGCGGGATGTTTCCCACTGTCTTGACCACAGTAATGTTTATACTCCCACTCTACTTCCTCACACTGAGCCAGCTGGGCCACTTGCTGGGAGGCAGGAGGGTGGAAGCCAAACAAAGGTGTGTACTTGCTTTGTGCAGATGGAAAGAGTCAGAACTAGAAGCCCTGGGTTTCCTGCTTAGCTTTCCCATCTTGGAATCCAGCACAAATTACATCATCTGTGAAATGGGGGTAATCATATGCCCACCTCCCAGGGTGGTTGGAGGCCCTAAGAAATTGGTGGATTATGAAAGTGCTTTGTTAAATAAATGGGCATGGCTAATCAATGTAAGTTGTTGACGATATTCGCGTACCTTTGGGTTATTGGTATATCTGTTTGTGAATGTATGAATTTGTAGAAGGTTGTAGAAGGCAAATACATAAATAGATGATAGAAGCAGAGAATTCTTTTTTTTTTTTGACTGTGTTCTTCTGCAAAAATGTTGTGCCCTACATTGGCATGTCTCAGAATTGAGTTTTGTATTCATGCATCTGGATCATGAAATTTGGAACCTGGCAGTGAAAGGCAGGAAGAATGATTAGGACCATTTTATTTAACTAATTAATGTGACTGGCGAATCGGAGAGGTAGTATTTCTAGGAACCACTAAGATTTGGTACACCAAAATTGCAAAAATCAGCCAAAAATTGAGTCCACAGTGGAACTCCATTTTACATTTTAGCCTGCTTGAATCTGATTTTTTAAAAAAATAGTTAATTAATTTAAACATATGTATGTTTTTTGTTTTTTTTTTTTGAGAGAGGGAGAGAGAGTGCTTCCATTGCCTGTTCATTCCCCAAATGGCCCCAGCGAACTTGAATTAGCTCTCTGATTCGGTGCCAGGGAATGCTAGCATTCCAAGTGGCAGCTCAACCTCCTGCCAGTGCCTGATTCTTTTCTAAAAAAGTTATTGAACATTCTAGTCCTTTAATTTTTCTAATTTATTTCTTTGGGTGACAGAGAAACAGGGAGAGACAACACCAAGCGGTGAGAGAGAGGTTGCATCCACTTTGTTACTCCCCCAATGCTTGCAATGTCCTAAGTTAAAATAAGGAGCCAGGGACTCAGCCCAGGTCTCTCATGTTGGTGAGTGGGACCCAATTCATTTACAGCTGTGTCCTGGGAAGTCCCTTAGCAAGACACTGGCATTAGGAGCTGGAGTAGGGGAAAGGAACCCAGTCACTTCGTAGTTGGGATATGCTAGTCCTCACCGCTGTGCCAAGTGCCTGCTGTCTTGTGTCTGATTTTGTACAGAGCTCTAGATAAGGTTTTCATCACAGCTGTGTGTGATGATTAACTGTTGAAAAATGTAGGTCCTGCTTGAATATTTCAGGTTACTTAAGCTTGCTTATGGGTCATTGATATGAATGATATTGCACGTGTCTATCTTAGGAAAACAGTTTCTCTCCCCCATCTGTTAAACAAAATATATTCATAATTTTCAGAGTGCAAGATGACTTAAACCTAATGCAAAATAAAAGTACCATCACTCTGAAAGGTGGCTGATTTTTTTTTTGTTGTTGTTGTTGGCATTGGCAGTTTTGTTTTAGTCCCTGATGCTGTTTGAGTGTTTGCTGAACACTGAGGCCAGGCATCATTCAGAACAAGTGACGTGGCCCCTGGTTTTATTCCCAGGCAACATGAGACTCCTAATAAGCTTTATGTGAACATATAGTGTTCATTCAATAAATACTTGTGTACCTACTGTGTGCAGACCACTGTTCAAATGGCAGAATGGCAGACAGACATATAATGTGTTATGGATATTACCCCGAAGAAGTTCTTTGGCTAGTAAAAGAAATGAAACCCAGGTAGAAATTATTGTCATGGAAATTAATAAAAGATCAAAGCCAATATTGTGGAATAGGTGAGTGCCATCATATGTGACATTAGAGGGAGAGTCAAACTAATGGAGGAAGTAACATTAGAGTTGGCCAGAATTATTAACACTTATTACTGGCTTAGCTGTTCCCATGTGCCAGGCATTACATTGGGTAGCAGTTTCATGAGATAAGAATGATTATTTCTAGCTTATGAAAGAGAAAACTGAAGTTGAGAGGAGTGAACATTCTTCAGCTAATAAGGAGAGGGTCTGGATCGGCATTTAAACTTAATTCCGAAGGCGATGCTTATTTTACTGTAAAATCCACATTGACAACACGGCATTTATGTAGTACGCATGATGCATATAAAATGGAGAGAATCTTTTCTCAAATGGCCATATCTGCCAGAGCTGAGCTAGTGCAAAGGAAGGAGCCAGGAGCTTCTAACAGGTACAGGTTTTCTATGTGGGTATAGGAGTCCAAGGATTTGGACCATCCTTTGGTGCCTTTCCAGGGAGGAAGCTGGATTAGAAGTAGAGCAGTTGAGATTTGAACTGTTGCTCATAGGTGGTGATGCTACAGGTGGCGGCTTTACCCACTAAACCACCATGCTGGGCCTTGGAACATTCTTCTGAGAATGATGTGTATGGTATAAGACATCTCAAACAAATATTTAGGATTTCTTAGCAATTATTTTGAAGCTTTACGTTTTGTTTGATATAGGTCAGAAGGCCGTCAACCTTGTCTATCATGACTCATATAGTCAATTTTTAGACTTCAAGATCCATACAGTCTGTGGTAGCTACTCAACTCTGTCATTTTTGTAAGAAGGAGCGACTGAGTTTCAATACAACTTTTATTGACATTGAATTATGAACATCACATATTTTTCATA